ACCCAAATGTTATAACAATAGTGAGAGAAATGAGCCGTGTCACGACAAAACCAACATAGTGCGTTTGCGACCGAGCATGGATCCAGACCAGCCTGCGCAGTCGTGCAGTCTGATCAGGATCCAAGCTGTTCGCTTTCAGTTTCTCTACTTGTTATATAGGGTTTGTAAGCGGATCCATGCTGGTCGCAAACCCATTATGTTGGTTTTTTGTCATGGCGCGGCTCAAAAATTTTTAGCAGAGGAAAACGTATTAAAGACCAATCGCTATGACCATAATTTATATATTATTTTTCATAAGAATATAAGAAGAAATCAAATATTACGAACCATTAAAACTGAAATTATCGTCGTTAATATTTTTTTTCTTACAGATATTATTGATATTGCATTGTTATCATCATGATCATCATCATGATCATCATCATCATCATCAGACTATCATAAGGTCAGACTATCGTATTGCAACATGGCTAGCGATTGGCTGGAGGAAAAAAAAATACATTGAAAACCGTAAGATTCAATGGGACATGATGCGGTTGGATGAAAATGGGGTGTTTTTTTTGTACGAAAACTTATTTAGAAACTGACACTATGATATTGTTTTCTTAAAGGAACTCCACTGAGGTTTATAGTAAAAGCATAGAATTTATTTTTTTACTCAGATCAGCTGAGGCACGCAAAACAGGAAGACATGCAAAATATAAGTAAGAAATATACTCAGAAATGAATTGAAAAGCTTTTCGTATTTTGTGCTATTTTCAATATGATTGCAGTGAAAAGCGTTTAAACGCTTTTAAATGTTGGGTCAATTTGAATAATTATCCTGGATAAACCGCGAGAGCGAATGATTTAAAAGTTTGCACACAAGTTACTGATCTAGACCTACATCAAACTGAGCATTGATCTCGAAAAATTATTTCCAGTCAGTCTCGTCATGTCAAAAACATCAGTGGAGTCCCTTTAAAAAAATGAAAATTTCATAAGTCTCTATGATAATTTGTGACTTGCATATTTGCATTTATTAAAAAGTGTATGTCAGTTCTGTGTACAGCAGAACATTTCTATAAAGAGGGCGGGGAGGGGGTGGGGGGGGGGGGGTGGGTGGGTGGGTGGTATTTTCCTTTGAAGTCACTTTTATGCGTGAGGCATTTCATTCTCTCTTCAGCACGGAAACTCTTTTTTAAGGTATAAGGTAGGATTTGGGACCGTTTCTCATAATGTTATAGTCTGTGGGAAAATCAACACGACAGTCTGACCATAAAGCATTTGCTCAAATGATGGCAACGCAGTCGTATATCAATCCCAAAATGGATTGAAGATGATTCTCGCGAAGACACTGCACTTATTTGCCGTCTGCTATTAACGTGTCGTTTATTGGTGTTTCTAGTGCGAGCATAACTACGTGTCATTTGAAGTTAGCATATTTTCTTGTATTCAGGTTGTGAAACAAACTTTAGTGCACCCCCCCCCCCACACACACACCCACCCTCCCTCGCACACATCTTTTCAATATGTTTCTATGACTGACTAGAGTCATTGCATTTCAATTATGATTTTTTTAGGGGCGAGGTTGAGGTGCGTTCGTGTGTGTGTGTGTGTGGGGGGGGGGGGTTGCACTAAAGTTTGTTTCACAACCTGAATACAAGAAAATATATGGGGGGGGGGGGGTACAGAAATCCTTGTGTATGCTACAAACGGTATACGTAAAGTAGGAGCGTATGGGTAAAACATATTGCAAGTTTTTTCTTTCCCAAAATAAATAGAATATGATTATATGGAGATGACGAAAAAAGTGGCAGGTCTATTATATTCAAAAAGAACGCAAAGAGGACAATTTCATGAAAAAAATGTCCCCTTTAAAATCAAGTAAATAGTTATACAAAATGTGTTCAGTATATACACCCCCTACGCCCCATACTACTAGTGAAATATATATTTTACGCGATGCAACAATGATACGGTTACCAGATCGTTTCTGAACAGAGAAAAGGGAGATAATTCGCGTAACAATCTCACGGTTAGTGATATTTGACCATTTAGCGTGTGCATTATATTGTCCAAGTAAACACATACTCTGCTGTTCTTGTCTTGTTGTTATTTGTACCGTCCGTATTTATTAATTGAGTCAAAAACACGACGAAAGACACTGCCGCCCACCGATCGAATGGCTTAAATGTGATTAAAGGCATAGTCATCAAAGGGATGTAATGGCTGCTTTATTTTCTGACAACGGTGAACGGGAGATAAATCGGTTTTCTTGCAGTGATTTGTGTCCGCTCTTAAAGGCACATCATGCCTCAGAAATCTGTATATTTTTTATTGTTTAGAAATATTAAACATGTTTTTGAGAAATAAAAATGCTAGTATTTCAGAGGCATAATGGGCCTTTAAGTCATTCAGAAATAATAGCGATGTTGTTTACAGAAAACAGAAAAAGAAGAACGAAAGGGATTGCATTCTCTTGTCAGAGGGGTGATACCGTGTTTTTCATAATGGAACAGCCCCCAACAGCCCCAAACGAAAAAAAGTTCAAAAAATCTATCCCCAAATGGGAAAAAGCGGGTGGTATGCATTGGAAAAAGGCACGCAAAATTTTTACATTCATTTCAACGTTTTCGATACTGGGATATTCATTTCGTGAATTCGGTATAAAACTTTGGCGCGATTGTTGATAAAATCGAGAGAGAAATAAAGCCCTGTCTGATTTTCCACTTCTAAGAAGAGAACGAATCGTGCTGCAACGGCATTGCTCATTTTGCTATGCACTGAACGAAGCCTGTAACGAGATGCAAATATTTTCGGGACGGGAAACGCTCACGAATGTCAGTCAGTATATGCAAACTGCAACCAGCACTTATTATTGATAAGTTCTAAAATGATTTTCTGTTTAAAGTCAGTACATTTATCAGGTTATTGTGTGTTTTACAGGGTACGTAATGTGGATGGTGTCAGATGATACAGTGGAACGTTACAGTATACAGGAAGTTAACATCTAATTGTTACGTCAGCATGGTATTGTGACGTAATGTGTATTGTGACGTAATGTCAGGGTTCCCACGCTGTCCGGGAAAACGGGAAATGTCCGTGAATTTGAAAACAGGAGCTCCCGGCCTTGAAAAGTCCGGGAATTAGTGTTGATACATAAAAAAGTCCGGGAAGGTACGGGAATTAGTCTGGTAAAGGGAGGTAAATCAACAACCAAAATGGCGGTCTTAGCACAGTATATTGACTTCTGCATCTTGAATGTTGATGATTTTTTCGATTTACAAGTGTTTTGGGAGGCCAAGTTTGACATTTATGAGATTTAACATTTATTTTCTGGTTACTATGGCAGTTTTGTTTGGAAAATGTTATAAGACAGTCACAAATCGACCACAAGTTTGCTTGATTGGCCCGTGCTAAGAAACATGAAAGCTCACAGGTCTGGTTGTTTCCTTGGGCAATTTGTTTAACCTTATTGCTCACAACCATGCTAAAAAGCCAAAGGTAAATCAATATAAAATAAACAATAGTATTACATACATGAACTATTGTCAAGGCAGAGCACAGCCAGTTGGCCACACCATATTTGGTAGCAAGAAATACCCAAATATTAGCCACAATATAATACTAAAAATGAATGTGTTTATACTAAAAAAGTGCTGTTTTAATCATGAATACAATATATACACTTTCACTAAGATGTAATCGAACATACCCAAAATTTTCATTTTTGAACCAAAATTACCCAAATACAGTATACTCCATGAAAACTATTAAATAAAAAAAATAATACGAATGAACTTGTATGAAATTACAACAAAACCCTTCAAATTTAAATGTTGACAACAAATCTCATATCTTGCAAGTACATTTGTCTATTCATTAGTGAACCCTAACAGTTAGAAAAGCAAATGTCACTTTTTTTTCTTACAACATCTGAACTGCCAATTTCAACGGAATGAATGAAAGTAATAGTTGGCTAAGTCACATTATTTTGAAAATATCAATTCATTTTCTCATTAAAATCTATATTGTATACAAACCAAAATGAATATTGCTATAATTGTGTGTGTTTGGGTATTTTGTGCTGCTGCCATATTTTGTAGAACCCGTAGCACTGGCTTAAGCAGAGTACAACATTTAAACATGAAAGTTGTGAAATTTTTAATGTAGAAACACCTGCAGGCAGTTTTCATATACCCTTCAGTGTGACATGCTTTTGCCATTCTATGCACCTAAGTGGACTGAGGTCAAATGTGAGGTTACTTATTAAAGTGCTATGAATATCTTGTAAAAAAGTGATCCCTTGGAAGCATTAAAAACACCAAAATTACATGAAAATTGCAGACAACCTGCAACAGTTGCTGTCACAAAGTACATTTCATTACTTATAGACACTGAATGTATTTCTTAGATAGAGTTAGATTTATGTCATGAACTACATGTATTATATTGTTATTAAATGTTGTTTTAAACATTACCATGAAAATATTCATAGGACCAAAAAATTGAATAGCTTGAAATTCAATCTTCTAAAAAGTCCTTAAAAAATCAAAAAAGGTCCTTGATAAGTCCTGGAAAAGTCCTTAAATTTTCAAAATATCTAAGAGTGGGAACCCTGGTAATGTGTATTGTGACGTCAGTTTCTATGACGTTGACATTATTCGAAGATGGAGCATGGAGTAATGAAGTTCTGGTAAGTTATTTTTTATCATCCTGTAGGTAAAATGAAAGAAATGTGAATAGAAAGAATGATGAAAGTGACGGCGGTATGAGTTAATATATACGTACGTACATTGGAAAGAATACAAACATAATATGTAGGACTATTCACTAAAACACATACGCAAGGACATAATTATGTGCTCAACAGAGATAGCATTGGATAAGTAACCCGTCCACGAGTCGCACTGGCATTATGTAAACGTGCATTAACGTCTGCAGAACGTTTTCACAACGTTACTTAGTGCTGCGAATATATGTATTCTGAGCCCAGTCATATGTGTATGAGAGCTGATACCACTGGACTCCGGAAAGTTACTAAAATTTTTCGATCGCTAAGTACTTCTCAAGGACTGAGGATTATCGGCGAAATTATATAATTATTACAGATGAAAAAGTACAGAAATGCAAGCCCGTCGCTCCGTCGTAAAGACGGCGAATAAATAGTGCATGAGACTAGCAAGAGGTATCGCTTCTCGGCCTTTTGGCTAAGATCAAAGTGTAGTATCTGTTCTTATCAGCTTAATATCTGATACGTCCCCCATTGGGGGACTTCGATATTAAACTGATTTTTGGACACAGGTGAGATGTTAGGGGCTTGCTCCGCTCTCGCCACGGGTTGGCCCGGTATTGCAGTACTTCCGGGATCGGCCCACTTCCCGTTAGGGGAAAAACACTACAATTCATCACTCTGAACCTACCATGTTATAACAATAGTGAGAGAAATGAGCCGTGTCACGACAAAACCAACATAGTGCGTTTGCGACCAGCATGGATCCAGACCAGCCTGCGCAGTCGTGCAGTCTGATCAGGATCCATGCTGTTCGCTTTCAGTTTCTCTACTTGTTATAGGGTTTGTAAGCGGATCCATGCTGGTCGCAAACCCATTATGTTGGTTTTGTCATGGCGCGGCTCAAATGTTTTAGCATGAAAACGTATTAAAGACCAATCGCTATGACCATAATTTATATATTATTTTTCATAAGAATATAAGAAGAAATCAAATATTACGAACCATTAAAACTGAAATTATCGTCGTTAATATTTTTTTCTTACAGATATTATTGATATTGCATTGTTATCATCATGATCATCATCATGATCATCATCATAAGGTCAGACTATCGTATTGCAACATGGCTAGTGATTGGCTGGAGGGAAAAAATACATTGAAAACCGTAAGATTCAATGGGACATGATGCGGTTGGATGAAAATGGGGTGTTTTTTTTATACGAAAACTTATTTAGAAACTGACACTATGATATTGTTTTCTTAAAGGAACTCCACTGAGGTTTATAGTAAAAGCATAGAATATATTTTTTTTACTCAGATCAGCTGAGGCACGCAAAACAGGAAGACATGCAAAATATAATTAAGAAATATACCCAGAAATGAATTGAAAAGCGTACTTTGTGCTATTTTCAATATGATTGCAGTGAAAAGCGTTTAAACGCTTTTAAATGTTGGGTCAATTTGAATAATTATCCTGGATAAACCGCGAGAGCGAATGATTTAAAAGTTTGCACACAAGTAACTGATCTAGACCTACATCAAACTGAGCATTGATCTCGAAAAATTATTTCCAGTCTCGTCATGTCAAAAACATCAGTGGAGTCCCTTTAAAGAAATGAAATATTTCATAAGTCTCTATGATAATTTGTGACTTGCATATTTGCATTCATTAAAAAGTGTATGTCAGTTCTGTGTACAGCAGAACATTTCTATAAAGAGGGCGGGGAAGTGGCGGTGAGGGGGTGGGGTGGTATTTTCCTTTGAAGTCACTTTTATGCGTGAGGCATTTCATTCTCTCTTCAGCACGGAAACTCTTTTTTAAGGTATAAGGTAGGATTTGGGACCGTTCCTCATAATGTTATAGTCTGTGGGAAAATCAACACGACAGTCTGACCATAAAGCATTTGCTCATACGTAGATGTGAGTACAGCTACAGATATAAATATCAATGATGGTGTAAAGAAAAAAATGTTATTCCTTAACATGATGATAATTACATGTATGTGCAGTGATTTAAACAGACCAACAAAATGATGGCAACGCAGTCGTATATCAATCCCAAAATGGATTGAAGATGATTCTCGCGAAGACACTGCACTTATTTGCCGTCTGCTATTAACGTGTCGTTTATTGGTGTTTCTAGTGCGAGCATAACTACGTGTCATTTGAAGTTAGCATATTTTCTTGTATTCAGGTTGTGAAACAAACTTTAGTGCAACCCCCCCCGACACAAAATATGTTTCTATGACTGACTAGAGTCATTGCATTTCAATTATGATTTTTTTAGGGGCGAGGTGGAGGTGCGTTCGTGTGTGTGTGTGTGTGGGGGGGGGTGGTTGCACTAAAGTTTGTTTCACAACCTGAATACAAGAAAATATATGGGGGGGGGGTACAGAAATCCTTGTGTATGCTACAAACGGTATACGTAAAGTAGGAGCGTATGGGTAAAACATATTGCAAGTTTTTTCTTTCCCAAAATAAATAGAATATGATTATATGGAGATGACGAAAATAGTGGCAGGTCTATTATATTCAATAAGAACGCAAAGAGGACAATTTCATGAAAAAAATGTCCCCTTTAAAATTTTTTTCTTTTTCATAAATTTATTCAGTTTATTTACAAGTAAAAATCCTACTGTAAAGCAGCAGGACCCGGTTTTAAAAGAGAAAAACTTAACAAATACATTTATATACATATGAATATGTACATTAACAATAAATTTTATTTATAACACACGTCCATCCCATGCATACCTGATATCAACAATGTCACGTAATACGTGCCATCGTGGACATCAAGCATGGATGGGATACCTTAACAACAAAATACACTTAAATACAAATCACTCTCATGCATGCCCGATGTACACAATCATTAGCTTGCTAATTCTTGTGAACATACAAACATGCATGAGAGATCATGAACACTGAACAACAAAATATAAGAAATAGAAATACTCAGTAATGTTTTTTGTAATGTCCTGTTTCACTGTATGTCATTTTATTTAATTCACTTTACAATTGTCATAGTATTTAATTTAACAGAATAAAACTAGAAATTTAATCAAGAAGACGTGTGTATTTTAAAGGTACAAATGAAAGAAACCGGGTTTACAATATATGTTAGTAATAATCATAAAAGATAAAGTTTTGCTGTTTCTATATTTAATAAATCGTTGAATGAATTTGAATCACGCTTTATTTAAAGTGAAGAATAAAGTTTTAGAAGATATAAAATTTAAAAAGTAATTGAAAATCTTCACATTGTAAATAACGCAAGACAAGAAACCCCCAGATCGCGCAACCCCGAGATTCTGGGTGGGTAAAGTCCACAATCTCGGGGTGGCGCGAAATAGGCCCGAGCCTTACGCCACCAATAAGGTGTGAGACTCAGACGGGCCTCGGCGAATGACACCCCCAGCCGACTGTCTCGAAGCCTGAGAAAAACAGCCGACCCGAGGAATCACCGCCGAACCCCGTCTGACAAAACGTGATATATATATATAAAAAATAAAATCACTAAGAAATTTTGAATGTGAAAAATAACTTTATCTTTAAAAAGAAAGGTTAGGAGAAAAAAAATCTGATCCCAAAGCCGCATAAATGAAAACACACATACCTGAAAATATACAAAGAAGAATACTTTAGATGAAACATGTATATATAATTATGAAGGAAATGATTGATATGAGGTAATGGTCCCAAACTGGGTAACACCCCAGTTACACAGAGCCATCGGTGATTGATCGGTAGTTTTTTTAACCAAATTATGGAGTGAACCGATGACAACGTATTTAACACCGATATCACCTATTGGTCACCTGTTTTCCACCTATCAACTGCTATTGGGGAAAGATGAGTTTCATCGATGAAAAATTACCGATTGGGATTTTTAAACACGTTTAAAATTCTCGATCGGTGAATTTTTTTAAAAAATAACCGACAGCAACCTATATCACGAGATATGCAAGCTCTTAATCACCGATATCGCCGATCGGACAAAGATAACCAAATATGAATCACCGGCCATATCTGACGGAAAGTGTTTAATCACTGATGACTAGCTATCAAACACCGATTAATCAGCGTTACGCCCGATTTAGCTCCGATTTACAAACGATAAAAACCAAAAGTATTTCAGCATTTAATCATCGACCCATTCCCGTTTGAGTTTGCTTTCTGTCACCGATGGCCGTTTACACAGAAAACCAGAAATAAAATCACGCATGACAACCGATCATAAACAGCGAGTAAATTTAAAATTAAATGACCGATTGGGGACCGACCGTCTGTGTAACTGGGCCCTTACATATACAATGAAAGTGAGTGATATGAGAATGATAATATATAGAAATAAATGAATGAAATAATGATCCCTAGACTGGGTTACATTGTATAATGATTTATGAAATAAATAAATATATACACGATATCTCTAAATGTTTTTATACGAAACAGGTATGTGCTATGATGAAAACAAAACTATATTTAAAAATAAACGTAACGAAAATGGAATGTTTCGGGAAAACCATATGAGACAGACCAAGCAAAAGTGTGCAAACTGGGCTCAATCTGTCCCACACAGCTCCCCACAAACAAAATAAAAGAAAAGAAAATACTTTATGTAAATACAATGTACAGACATAAATACAAAGTTCGCTCCCCTTTCCAGGATGACACCACCATCTCGAAGGAGTAAATAAACACCAAAGAGACAAACTGCCATCATCCTGAAAAGAGAAGAAAACAACAACAGCAGATAGAGTATACACGAAAAATATACGAAATTAGAACTATAATGAACTTGGAGATTGATGAGAAAAAATATATAAACTGCATAAGACAGACTGACTAGAGCATGCAAGCTGGGCCAATCTATCTTATGCAATTCAACAGAAAAAGATTTTATTTATCATACATTGAGATTTAATTTTTTACCGTAGAAATCTATAAAAGACATAACATTGAAAGAAATATCATTACTATTTAAGGTTACAAATCCATGTTGGGCCCAAACATTTAAAAAATTAAGTGAATTTAAACGTTTATAATCTAAATATATTCTGTTTCTTAAATAAATGAAAAATTGTTCTAAAAGTGACCTTGTCGAAATTTTCTTATTATGATGTTTAGCATTTAAACGAGAAGACCAAATTAAGTATCTAGACAATGATAAAATAACTAAACATGTATATTTTATATCATTACTAACTTTTGGTAAATCGAAAAATCTAAAAACTTTTTCACTAAACTTAATCTTCTTATCACTTATGATATGTAATAAATATATAATTATACTATTAAAAGGCTTATAATAAGAACATTCAATAAATAGGTGAGAGACAGTTTCAATACCGTTGCAAAATAACATGATTTTTTCTTCGAAATTCGTTTACAATATAAAAAATAATCAACATATACGACATCGTGTACTAATCTATAAAAGATATTCTTATGGATTGGATCAATTGCACTTGCAAAAAATATTCGAAAAGACGTTTTTAAAATTGATTTGTGGAAATAAATTGACACACTTAACTTTATAATCTGTGTCTAATAAGTAAATATAAACTAGAACTCCGCGAGTCGGATGTGTCGCCTTGTGAACAATGTAGTTTAGGGGAAATGGCCAGGAGAAAAAATGAAATATGAAAAATAACAAAGGGCAATAACTAAAAAAATAATAAGTGCAGAGCAGCAGTTTCTGTACACTGCACTTCTTATCAATAACATCTATCATTCTATGATGTTTCAAGTCCATAGCTTTCATAATTGAGGAGAAATGACCAGGAAAAAATAAAGTAAGAAAATCAACAAAGGGCAATAACTCAAAAATAAGAAATGCAGAGTATCAGTTCTTATGCACTGCACTTCTTTTTAATGAGATCTATCATCCTATGAAGTTTCAAGTCCATAACTTTTTTTACTTCCGGAGAAATGGCCTGGACAAAAATTAAGTATGAAAATTAACAAAGGGCCATAACTCAAAAAATTAAGAAATGCAGAGTACCGATTCTTGTGCACTGCACTTCTTAATAATGAGATCTATCATCCTATGAAGTTTCAAGTCCATAGCTTTTATACTTAAGGAGAAATGGCCCGGACAAAATTTAAGTATGAAAATAAACAAAGGGCAATAACTCAAAAAATAAGAAATGCAGAGTACTGGTTCTTGTGCACTGCATTTCTTCTTATTGAGACCTATCATCCTATGAAGTTTCAAGTCCATGGCTTTTATACATTAGGAGAAATGGCCCGGACAAAAATAAAGTATGAAAATTAACAAAGGGCAATAACTCAAAAATTAGGAAGTGCAGAGTACTGGTTCTTGTGCACTGCATTTCTTCTTAATGAGATCTATCATCCTATGAAGTTTCAAGTCCATAGCATTTTTAGTTGCAGAGAA